TAAACAGTATCGTCTTTGACACTGTGAGGTAGCGTATTATAAAGAAATATACTTAGCATAAGGATGAAAGTGGCGTTACCAGAATTTGTTTCACTAATCTGCGAGTCGTAGAGGGCAGCATCTACTTCCCTCTAAAAACAAAAGAAAGCAGGCTGCATAAACCAGCATCCTTTCGAATAAATTCTAAGCACCTACCCCAGTACATATTTTCTAAGAAGCAGTCTCCCTCTAAAATTTAAACTAATCGTATGCACAGCTTAAAGATGACAGACACACCTAAAATTTCTGTAAATCTCTGCATTTGTCATATTTTACCTTATCGCCTATTACTAAAAGTTTTGTCCTTAGATCAGGTGTATTTTTGTAGTAAGTAAGTACAACTTAAGTGTGCTGGGAACAATGACTTAAATGATCCTTATTGACGTGTCAAGTGTGAATTACAAGTTGTCCTGAAATATCTAATACTTCCCTAATTTTTGATGATTTGATTTGTAAGACTTATCTGTTCAACAATGTAAATTGGAGACTACTTCAGCACTCTAGCGTGCAGTGTCCTCAGTTATTATTAATAACCTCATTCAAGAGCTGCCCTGTATGACAATCCACCTGTCAGGTCATCCACAACCAACAACTCAGTGAGACGTTTGAAGTGAAGAGAGGATTAGGACGAGACTGCCTGCCTATTATCACTCACAATGATTGATATTCCTAATTGTGGTGGGTTGGATTATGCGGAACACCGTGTGTGTGTGTGTGTGTGTGTGGAGGGAGAAGACAGGAATACACTGCAGTGAACGATGAGAAGACACTGGGTGATCTGGATTTGGCGCATGGATGATTCATGTTACTTAATGTCACACAAACTCGAAGACTCACGGGGAGGCAGGAAGACAGGCAAGAAAAAACCAACAAACTGACTCAAGAAGCAGTCAGAGGAGACTGAACTGACTCCAAGTGAACATGGAGAAGACGGAGGTGATGAAGATAAACAGATAATCAACAGGAGCAGCAGCAAAAGCAACAACAACCAGCACTAATCACTGTCAAGTGGAGATATTTGAAAGGGGTTGCTTCCTCCATTCACTTATCTAGCTATGCAGCCAGCATCACTTCAACCACAGACAGTCGGAACAGATGAGGGTGTGAAAGCCAGTCAGTACCGGATAGCCCAGATAGCACACCTTCATTACTGTGAGCTCAGTGTGGAAATCTTCTGCACTCCATCTCAGTATGAAGAAGGAGATACTGGTTCCAAAAGTAAATGTTGATTCAGTCAGTCAATTGTTCTCTGTGGGTGGGAAACTTGGTGGCACAGCGGTTAGAACTCTCGCCAACCATGTACATGTTCCGGAGTTCGACCCCCTGCCGTCACACACCCGATATCAATAGTCGGCCTGCAAGATTTGGGATACCGATATCACATGCTGAAAATTCCATACTTGTACTGAAAATACGGAGTGGAATCAAGCTGTAGTCAAAAAACTTCAATTAACTGTCTTTTTAAATACTTAAATATGCCGATTATTCATATTTGTACGAGACATGTAAGCGAACAATATTATTTTTAGTTAGCTCTTCAGGCTTTACTCTAATTTACATAGATTTATATGTGAAATATGCGATGGGGACGTGGCTAGTTAAGTCTTGCGTCTAAGATTATCTAGAGCCGTAAAAGACGGACTTATACTGCCACTACACTTTAGTTGTCATTTTCCACCTGCACACCAACGATATGGTTGCTGAAGCGAAAGATAAGGTACTTAGCTCTCTGCCACTTCGATGCGCATTTAGCTGTTCCTGTAGAGTAAGCTGCAGCATATAAGGCGAACAACTAGATACCTAGCTCAACAAACGCATTATTACTCAGCATCCTCCCTCATTCATGGTTTGGTTTAGTAAAGGAGGAAAAGTAATATTTATTAGAAGCTCTCTATTTCGTCTCATTTGATTGATCACAGTCACCAAGTGGACAGGAAAAGTGTCATCAAAGTTATCCATCGCATTCCATTGAAGCTTTCAAACGGAATTCAAGCCACTCACCTTCTATACACACAGCAGAAACTATGTTAGGAGTTTCGAGAGAACACTCTGAGTGTATTTGCACTCAAAAGCAGTTTGTTCTACATTCGTTTCTCCCTTCCTTCGCCTAAATAAGTTCTGATTAAAATAAACCTTACACACACATGCTTTCTCATTCTCCATTTCCTTTGTACTCTTATGGTATTTATTTAAGCTGTGATTTTCTGTCTACTTCACCTTCAGTATTAAGGAACTTTCAAGATTTGACCTAATTTATTTATTGAATTGTCTTCATATGTACATATCATTCAACAGATCTTCCTTATTCACCAATGTACCACTTATGAAAAGAGTAGACTTTGTACGCGAAGAAGTCATAAGACGAAACATCGATTTCGGCATTCCTATATCTTTTATGAAAGAGCTTCTCTTGAAATGTACAATGAATGTCCATTTTTTAACTTAATAAGGAACTATATAGACAAATCGACGGTGTGGCAATGGGGTCACCAGTAAGACCCATTCTAGCCGACATTTTCCTGGCGAAACTAGAAAATGGGCCTTTGAAAGATGTTATTAATGAACTCGAATTTTATTGTCGATACATGGATGATACTTTTTTGATTATGAAGAACGAAAATGAGGCAAAGGACATCCTGGATAAATTTAATGAGGTACATCCTGCAATAAATTTTACTATTGAGAAAGAAAAAGACTCTAGTATTTCATTTCTAGACGTCCTTACGACTAGAGAAGAGGATGGCACAATAAGAAGAAATGTGTATAGGAAACCTACATCAACTGACTATCAGTATACTCATTATTTTCAGCTTCGTGTCTTTAAAATACAAACGCAATCTAATAAAATGTTTGGTCCACAGAGCAGGAGCAATCTGCTCTAAGGAATGTCTTAATGAACACTGTTAGTGACGTAAGTGTAGAACCCGGGCACTGTGGCAGAATGTAATTCTATACTACATAAGTTTATCTTAAACATTGCACAGTGATACAGTAATAATGGCTGGATGACGTTTCGACAGTAAATTGCTGCCACTCATAATCATATAAATTTATCACTCAGTTCCACAATTTGTCTTATATGTATTTTCTCTCTTTCTCTCCCTCCAACTTCCCCTCGTTCTCTTTATTTCATGTTTCCATATCGCCGGTAGAGGCGTCGTGTCATTCCGATTGCACGTGGTGGTGCTGAATAGATAAACGAAGGTCCAGTGATTAATCTCTCTCTGTCTGTCTGTCTGGTTTATTGAGTCTACACCCAACACAACACATGCAACAGAAATGACTCAATGCAAACACCAGAAATATGGAAGATATTATTGCCACCAGTCAGTCAAATCAGAGGAGGATAATAAATAATCATAAAATTCTATTTCAATTCAAGCACATCACAACATTCTAGAAGTTACTTTTTTTGACTATAAAAACACTCGTCTTATTTCCCATCTGATTGTAATTGATGAATAACACTCATATTATTATTATTTATGAATGTACATTATCCTATATTGCTGATTTGTATTCAAATGTCTAATCATCAGTTCCACATATGTATATAAATGAAGGAAAAAAGTTGTGTGAGTAGTGTCTTGATATGATTATGAGTAGCACTGGTTTGTGCTCGAAACGTCATCAGTTAATATAACTGTACAACACTGTGTGATTTATCAAAATAAAATCTTATCCATTATGGAGTTATACTGTACCACGGTGCCCAGGTTTTATACTTATGTCTGTCTATGTCTCCAACTAACTATATTAATCTTTAATACTCTCATCCTGCCCACCCACCTCGTGTTGTGCGATTATATGAAAGTTAGTGCAATGCTACGCAGTCGCTGAGCTTTGTTCTTTCCAACTTATTAAACTTACTGTGCAGGGTGGATGATTCTAGGTTTAGCTAAATTTTTATGTTCCAATAATCTAATTGACCTCAATCTACTAGTTTGACTGGCTTATGAAACTGAAACCACCCACAGTCATTACATATTATTTGGTAAATTATATAATTTTTCGTCATTGGATTACGTAATTGGGTGCATATGTGGACAAAGTTTATCTCTAAGACAGTTGGTTGACTGGTTTAAATACCACCCAGACTCATTGATAATCTATGCTTGAAACGCTATTCATTTATTCTTACTGTATCACTGTGTGATATTCAAAATAAACTTATCTAATATGGAATTGTTAATGACGACTATTCTAGAATATATATAGCAGGTCGAAGATGAGACAGTAACTCTATTTATTTATTTTTTATTTTGATTTACAGCTTGATTCCACACCGTATTTTCAGTACAAGTATGGAATTTTCAGCATGGATATCGGTAGCCCAAATTTTGCAGGCCGACCATAGATATCGGGTGTGCGCCGGCAGGGGATCGAACCCCGGACCATGTGCATGGTCGGCGAGAGTCCTAACCACTGTGCCACCGACGCACATCGAAGAAGACATTGCGAAATGGTCGCGCAATGTCGTGAATTGGCAGAGGTTGGAATTCATGGTCCATTGGATTGGGTCCCAGTGGCTTAATAGTCTACGAGCTCGCCTTGTAACCAGAACGTCCTGGGTTCGAACCTCAGTGGGTGCGTACTGCTGTAGAGTCCCAAATTAGGACGGAGGAAACAGCTGCCCAGAACTCCCTGTTGGTTTTCCAATGGTTCTCCACCCGGTGTCAGCTCATGACGAAATCCTCCATGCAAACAAACTAAATCCCTACAAAACCAATACTTGAAAATTATTCTAGAATATTCTATATATATAATTGTAGAGCCGGAAGAGGAAACTATCGGAGAGAATATTCTTTCCTCAAATTTTCTTTTGTCTTTTAAACACCCAGTCTTGTCGGAAGTTACTAAATTTTCGGTGCTAAAAAATTTCTTATTTACAAGACTGAATTTCAATTCTTATCATGTTACGCTTTGACCAACTGAAAACACAAACGTCATCAGAACTCAGTAACACATTTATTGGAAGAAAATATACATAAAGATATATATATAAATATCTGCGTAGAATATTAGATAACTTTCTGACACTTCAGCAGGCGTTTTAACGCCCGACGAAATTTACGTGACATTGCATTGTATAATATCGGATTGACAGCTGAATTCAAATAGGCCATAATCCTTGAGAACATGCGGAACCATAAATCATGATATCCGTGCAGTGAGAAACTGTTATACACAACCATGGAACGATACGGCAGCCAAAAGGAGGCGAATAAGACAACAATCGTCATTAGAAGTTTCACGACCTACAAAGAAGTAAGAAGAAGAGGAAAAAACGAGTATATCACCTGGTTTTTTTCAGTACATAGTATTTGTGCGTCAGTGGCACAGCGGTTAGGACTCTCGCCGACCACGCACGTATCCGGGGTTCGATCCCCTGCCGACGCACAAAATTTGGGTTACCGATATCTCATGCTGAAAATTTCATACTTGTACCAAAAAGTACGGTGTGGAATCAAGCTGTAGTAAAAAAATTAATTTCAACAGATTGCCGACCATAGTGGAAGAGGATACTAATCGCAGCTTTACAATAATCTCTAATTTCCTGTAAACCCCTCACTTAACCTAGGTCATGGCAGCGTACCAAGTATCTTGCTTCAAAAATGTGTTGATATTTTCTGTCATCCTGTCACACAGATGTTTAATGCATCATTTAGGAGGAATATACTACCTGTTGTCTGGGAAGAAATAAGGCTGGTGCCTACACCAAAATCATTTTCTGGATCAGGTCTAAAGTTTAGGCCAGTCACCATCACTTGCATATCCCTCAAAAACCTTCCCTGAAATCTTTTATTGACCCACAGCAGTTTCCTTACAAATCCAGCAGCTGCACACTAGATGCTGTCGTTCAACTCCACTACAATATTCTTTCAACTCTAAATGCAAAGGTGAAAAGATTGTTTCCAGCCCCCTCTGTAGACTACACACTGCTGCTGCTGCTTTTGATGACTCTGTTCCTAGGGCACTCCCACTAAGCAATCTGAATTCAGCATTTATTGAGTCCAACTGCGTCAAGAGGTGGCTGGCTGACTCTCTTCTTACTTTTCGGATTGAAAACCACATACTGTTTTATTAAATAGAAAGCGCTCCTTTTCGTTGCAAGCGAACCCTAGCGTGCCTCAAGATGAGCCGTACTCTCTCTCTCTATTCCTTTTTTCTTTCTTTCTGCATCACCTACCTCGTATTCTTTCAAAGCTAACTTAATCATACATGCCGACGATCTAACCATTTTTGTCCCAGTAATTGCTACACTGGATTGTTTTTATGAGTTGATCACGGACTGATGTCACTTAGAGAACCATTGAAAACCAGGGAGTACTGGACAGCTGTTTCATCCTAGTTTGGGAATCATCGGTCCTTGCAACCGGAAGGTCCTGGGTTCGAACCCCAGTGGGTGCGTACTGCCAATGATCTTCCTTCTTTTCTTGTTCCGCATAGAACTGGATAATTGCAACCTTCCTTCCTTTTGAGTGGAATTTTTGGAGGGGATTGATTTCCATTGCATTACGGCTTTGGACGGCATTGTTGACATCATGATAGCCACTCACTGCATCAGTGTTCTCGTGGTTGTCGTCTGGGTGACTGAACGGGGGTAGGTTACTGACTCATCAGTTGAAAATTTTGAAAGTCCACATCCATTCCACATGCTTTCATCAAAAGAAGACACGTCGGCTGACTGACAGGCTTCCTGAAGGCTGTGTCATTTTATCTCTCCGATTCTAGCGACAAATAAGTTTTTCCTAATCCTTTCTCTTTTTTTTCCAGGCCTCTGACTGGCTAGAAAACTACCGAGCTAGTAATCAGCTAGGCGAGGAGGTTCCATTCATTTGTACAAATCGTATTTTCTGCAATTAAACCATTAAATAATAATGACAAGAAAAATATATACAAAATTTCCATACTAAATTCAGCAGTTTTTGTTTTTGTGAATTTTATGGTTTATAACCTCTTACATTTCCTTTGTGATTATTATTTCAAGCCTCAAGGATTTTCCTGACTAGACAGATTTTGTTTATCGGCTTGACTGTTGCCCATTACTTTGGTCAACAGCATACTTCACAATACGTCCTAACCACAGTATGAACAAAATTAGTTTTGAGCAGACATTAAAAAGTATAAATAAATAAATAAAAACAATTCTACTTTTGAGTATCACTTCAACAAAAACTTTTCAGTATTTTTTTTCCAACGATTTGGTTGAATGCTTTCTTTATCGTTTATAGAGACAAACAAATATCACAAATGAGAGATGCTTTGCTAACTAACATTTAATTAGGCGAAAAAGTCAAGTTTAGTTGTGTGCACTGAAGTGTCACAATTATTTAGTGTTAATTTCAAGGGATCAGTGGTGTTCTACTAAAGAGTATATTTATTTTTAGAAGCCTGACTGATACTTAGATGAATCAGTCAGCGATTATCAAACACACTACTCAACATAGAACAAGCTTACCAACTAATAAAACAGAAACATAAATCAAACGACAAGAAATTCCAAGTGAACAAAACTGGTGAAGAGGTATAGATGTAAATTAACAGAGAAGGAATCACGACGATGGTTGTCTGTCTGTCAGGCGACAGACAATTATCTCATCCATCATTGATGGAGAAAGAATTCAGATCAGTTCATTTTCCTACTAAAGCCTGGGCTGAAGAAAGATGTTGTGTCTAGAAGATGGTGTAGGAAAGCTATGCAACTGAATCTACAGTCAGCTGAGCTCAGAGGAGAACTCAAGTTAATCATCTTAAATGTGATCAACCTAGTGAACACCGGCCAGGAAGGTGTGAGAGACAGACGGAATTTGTCCCGAAGCACTAATAACAGACCCAGACACTGTGGTAGATATGCTCACGCCATTACTGCAAGGTGCCCATCGATAGGAAGAAAGGCTACCTCGTCAAACTACCAAAGAATGGAAACTCAATCCTCTACAACCATTGGTGTGGAGCAATGCTGTTGTCTACGCCAAGTAAAATAATAAGTGGCGTCATCCTGGAGAGGGTAAAAGATGCACCAGATGCAGAACTCTGACGTCCCCGCGAACAAGCTGGATTCAACAGAGGCAAATCGTGGACTGATCAAATTGCAACTCCACGCATTATCATCACAGAACAAGGTAAAGAATGGCAGTCAAAACTCTACCTCAACTTCATGGACTAATTCGAAAAGGCTTTCGACAGAAAGCGTTGACCAAGAAATAAAATTTGGAAGCTTCTTCGACACTACGGCGTGCAGTGTCCTAAATCTTTATCAACCTCATTCAAGAGCTACCTATATGACAATGCACCTATCAGGTCATCCACAACCGACAACTCAGTGAGGCGTTCGAAGTGAACAGAGGAGTAAGAGAAGGCTGCCTGCCTATTATTACCCACAATGATTGATATTCCTAATTGTGGTGGACTGGATTATGCGGAATACCGTGTGTGTGTTTGTGGGTGGGAGGGAGAAGCGAGAAGATAGGAGTAAACTGCACTGAATGATGGGAAAACTCCAGAGAATCTAGGTTTGGTGCGCGGAAGATTTATGTCTTATTTCAAACAAGTTGGATGACTTATAGGAAGGCAGACAGACTGGTCGGAGAGAACCAACAAATTGATTGAAGAAGCAATCAGAGAAGACTGAACTAACTCCAAGTGAACATGGAGAAGGCAGACGTGATGAAGATAACCAACCAACCAACCAACCAGCCAATCAACAACAACATCAACAATAACAGCAACAATAACCAGAACTAATCACTCACTATCAGTGGGAGAAATTCGAAAAGGCGTTACTTCTAGCATTCACTTATCTAGCTATGCAACCAGTATCGTTTCAACCACAGACAGTTGGAATGGATGAGGATGTGAAAGGTGGCCAGAATCGGGATGGCTTCATCATACAGTGAAATCAGTTTGGAAATCTTCTGCACTCCACCTCAGCATGAAGCAAGAGATTCGAATTTTCCACACAAATCTTGATTCAGTCAGCCATTCAGTCAGTCAGTTGTGCTGTGTGGATCAGAAACGTAGTGTGTGTGTGTCATGAATAGTACTTCGGACGGGCTAATTGTGAAGAATTTTAACAACAGCTGCCCACTCCACTGGCTCCATATTGAAGATCAAGATGGTCAGCTGGTCAGAGAGAGAGAGAGAATGAGCAGCAAGAGATTCTGGGAAGAGACCATTCACTAACCGATTGCTCAACAGATATGTAGGAGAAATTGGAGATGGATTGGACACACACCGGTTGAGGAGACCGTTGAATAATATCACGCATAATGCAGGCCATTACTCTAGGGGATCCGGAGTAGGAAATCGTGGGTCGGATGTTGGGGCGAGGGTAACATGGGGAAAATTGTATGAGTTGGAGGAGGTGACGAGAGATTATGGACAATTGGGGGGCCAGCTAGCTAAAGGTGACAGCAGAGAACAGAATAAATTGGAGACGTGCTGTGTTGAAGCCTAGTGTTGTACTGGGAACCCAAGGAAACAATAATAATAATAATGAATAAGGGTTTCCAAAGACCAAGTATCTCAGCTTTACAGTCAACACACCAAAATTCATTTACTGCATACATCAGTTCTCTTCAAAGAAGTCAGGTTGGAAGTATCTCTCATCTGGTTTTAATTAGTGTATTGCCATCATTTCTGTTATTTGCTTAGTGTCATCATTGTTTGTTTTCCACTTGTTCCTATTTGGTTTTTTGCATTTATGTCGATACTTTTAATTCTGGAGTCACACAGAAAACTTGGAGGATCTGGACTTCACCGATGATATATGTCTGATTTCCCACAAACTCGAAGATATGCAAGCGAAAAGAAACAAGTTAGCAGAAGAAGCATCCAGAAAGGATAGGACTTCAGGTGAACATAGAGGAAACCGAGGTGATGAACATTCCTGGACAAGAACAACAACCGACAACGATCAGCATAAATGGGAGGGACCTGAAAGAAACAACCTCCTTCACCAACGTACCTGGGAAGCATCGTTTCAACTACAGGCCAACGGAACTGACGAGGATATCAAAGCAAGAATCGGACAGCAAGACAAGCTTTCACTACTCACGTCAAGTCTGTGTGGAGGTCAACAGCACTCAGCATCAAAAATAAGATCCGGATTTCCAACTCCAATGTGAAGTCAGTGCTACTCACTATACGGATAAGAGACTTGGCCAGCGCGTCATGAAGAGCATCTCAAACAAACTACAGACCTTCATTAAAGGTTGTCTTCGTTCAATACCACTCAAGATCAGATGGCCAGCGA